TCAGAATTCTCATAACTTATCTACAATATAGCTCAAGTATGAAATTCAAGAAGGTTTACTTACTTGGATAGAATAGAAGTTGAATTAATGCTTAACTCCCATTAAAAATCTTCACCACCATTAAACGTGATGGAAAAGGAAAGTTTAGAGGAAAGGTAGAGGAAGAAGATGAAGATAAGGATGAAGAAATGAAAATGAATGGAATCCACGGGTAGTCTCAGAATGTCATTGGATTTTTATATGAAATTACCAAATGGTACCCTCAGTGTCAATGACATACTTAATACCCCTCAACTTTAAATAACTTTAGTGAAATCAAGTTCCTAATCCATCTTTGATCTTTGTTTCCTTCTCAAGTCCTAATCCTTATACTTTGATCTTTTTGTTTCCTTCAAGTAAGTCCACTTCTTTTCCTTATTTCAATTACATCCCATTCTAGCCCACTCTAAAATCTAATGGATCGAACCGGGTTTTGGATCAGCCCGACTCGACTCTAAGCAACAACTCGATTCAATAGAAACATGGGACGTTACATATTTAACAGAAACAAACTGAGCCTTAGTATTATTTATTTATTATAATACTTGGATATTATATTTTTATTCAATTGATTGTATACATAATAATCAATAGTTAATTTAACTTTGAATTTGAATTAAAGTGTGAAATATTTTTAATTATTTTGTCTTAGATTTTTTATTTTTAGATTTTTTAGTGTTAACTAAAATCTTTAATGGCTTAATAAGAGAAAGACTTGATAATTGGAAGAATTTTTCACATGGTGAACTAAAAGAAAGGACAAAATAATTTTAGGAAAAAAAAGAAGTTTTGAAAAATAAATAATCAAAAATTAAAAACAGCTTTATGTTTCTAATAAATAAAAAATAAAAAAATAAACAACTGTAACAAACCGCCTTGATTTTTCCTTTTCGTATCTTCATTGAGATTGCATAACTTGACTTCAGACTACTTCTATAATTAATGACTTAAATTAGAAAATTTCATTAAGATTGCAGTCTCGAGTGCTCTCTCTATCTTGTCCTCCGGCAAAATATTCCCATTTTGCAGGGGCACAGGGTGAACTTGTTCAGATTGAAGCTTTCCTAATCTGTATTGGAAAAAGGAAATGTCTAGTTGAGGTTTGAGCTTCTTGACTTGGGTAATCCACTCGATAGAATTCACATGACAAAACATTTATAAAAGAAATTTGACATGAGTTGATGTCTAGTTCTATCAAGAGAATGAAATCTTGGGTTCATAATGCAGTATGCATATATTCATAGGAACCAACAGATTCAAAGTACCATAATACATTGTAGAACCTGAAGTTGTTCATTTTCATGTAATCAGTAAGATACTATTAGCACAAATAAACTAGGAGGCAATAGAAGCAGGACATGCTAACTAACCTTCATGTTCAAGACTATCTTTTTGCTGAAAAGTATCTCAATTGTCTAAACTGCACAAAAATCTTGGTGAAAGTCAAGATAACGAAGCTTCATAAACAAGGTTAATATTTGAAAATGCTAGAAATTAATAAAATGTCAGAAAGCGAAGGCATGGAGAAGGAGGAGGAAAATTTTGCAGAATGCTTTAATCAACAATAGAGGTAATAGTCACTCTTGGCTTGTTACTAATGTTTCTGGTTTAGCCACTTTTTTTATAAAGCAGAGGGAATCAATACTTATTTCCCAAAAAGCTTTAATTATCTCCAAAGCAGGTACAATGACTCTATGGCATTTCTTGTACTGTTGGAGCACCCAAAGGATGTCAGCCGACGGCACATACTCTCGATATTCTCTCGTGTTGGTCTTCAGTTTCAACTCCTTGAAGATAGCTCAACAATGCAGAGATGGATGCGTTCCTTAAAGAATCTTGCAATCCACCAATTGAAATAACTAAGCCAGACACCACTGCTGCTATAACAACTAAAGTTAAGTAATTTTACAAAACGTGGATATAAAAAAGGTAGGTACCTGCAAGGAACTCATAACGTACTCTTCTAGTGGAATCCATGGAACAAAGGATCTATGAACAAGTCTGAAGACCTTCCATAGCAGCCTCATGAACCCAAGAACCAACATCGCCTCTGTTATCCATGGAATAGTCACCAAGAGCTTTAAGTAAACTCGGCATCACTTCGTCTTTTATCAGACGATACAGAGACATGTGGTCCTCTTCAGAACAAATATCAGAACTTTCTCTTGCCTGAGTTAATGTCTTACATACAGAAACGAGTCCTTTGACAGCATTTACTCGTGCTTCAGCATCTCCATTCTCAGGGTTGTCCTGCAAAGAAAATATCCAGTTATGCGAGTTAACAAAATTCCTACTGCCAGGAAATTTTAATAAGGCTAGCATCTTTTATGAAGTACACCTCAATTGCACAGGAACTACAAAGCTTCAAAAGCACATCTTTTCTATGACCAGCCAAATATTCGTACGGTAAAACACCTAATGCCAATGCAGATCCTCTTCTTACAGCTATATTTTGATCAGTCAGTTGTCCCAGGTACTTTGATGTAATACCACCTGCACTTCCACTTTTTGCGCTGCCAATGTACGCTTTAACAAAGTGTTTGAGAGCCTTCACAGCAGCATCCTGTACTTCTTGTTCAAATTTTGGTTTCAACTTTTCACAGTGAAAGAACAAACTTATTAGCTTGAGAAATAAGATGTCTCAAGTTATATTCTCTGGCAATGTCAAACGACACAAGGAGATGCATTCAATGGACTGGGAGACAGTTTATCTCTCCACCCTTCCCACGGTGAAGACGAACTTTTTCAATAGCAGGAACTATACCAGCTATGTCTTTATGTTAATCTGAAATGGAGAAATTGGACCAATGAAAAAGTAATACATTTCCTTGAACTAGAAATAGGAAAGCAGGAGGTAATACCTTATGGAATTCTCTAAAAATGCCAACTTTTACTCCTCAATACCTTATGATTCCGCTAAATCATCCAATCGGCCATTTGAAGGTAACCATTCTATGTATAATGTATATACCCCCCACCACCCACCCCCCCAAAAACACACACACACACACACAATTCCCTATCTTCGATATGTTAAAGTGCCATAATAAGATATTAGAACACTTAATAATAAGTTTCAGTTGCATTTCTGAACCAAAAACAAATTACTGAAAAAAAGAAAACAAGGGCACCAACCGGTTGCAAGAGCGTAATCACATTGATGTAAAGCCAAAACAACTTCCCCAACAGCCAAGGTTGACAACATGACGCATGCAGAGGCCGGAGGATATAGTTGAAGGAATCAATTTCTCTCAAACAAAATCGTATTTAATAAGAGTGGAGATAGCCTTTGCAGCAAGTTCTCTCACGCCTTCATCCTACAGAAATCAATGATCATAAAACATGCAAAACGAGCAACCAGAACATGATAATGATAACAACAAAAGATCACGTCAAAGAATACAACCGGTAGTGAAGGCCTATGAAGATTATATGTCTGGTCTCTTTAATTGAGTAGTTGGACCTTGCAAAAACAGAAACAGCAAACACCCATATCTATGATCAACCCCCCAAAAAAGTCATATTCAAAGACAAACTCCATGATACCGCTCCATCTTTTTTTTGTTTCCTTGTAACTTTCTTACTAAAAGGAATGCCATCAAGAAGCGAGTCCTTCCCAGAGGAAAGAGAGAAAAGTCATCATAAATTCATAAATTGAGTTTTAGTTTTGAAGATATGAAGGTTGAAGAAGGCATAAAATTGGAAAATTTTGGAGTACACACCCAGTGACCAATCTTGTTATACCTTATGCAAAAGGATATAGGTATCCTGCATATTGAACAACAGAGACAGCAACATTGAGATTACTTACGAAGAAATAGAAAACAGTCTCCTTCGAATATCATAATGCAGTGCCTGTTAGGGAAAATTTATTCTTAATCAGCGTCAATGGTGCATCAATTGTCATAGTTGTCAAGATCTTCCAAACATGTACCTGCTTGATGCATGAGGCACTAATGACAAAATTTCTTCTAATAAACTTAAAATCAAACAAAGTGATTAGCTTTAAACAAAAGGTAAAAATTTGAATCAAATATGTAATGTAACCATCCGGCCTTGATGATAAAGGTTACAACTTTGGGAAGACTGACAGGCAATAGCTGCCCTCTGCGTGCTAGTGAAGAGAGTTTTGAGAAAGAGACAAAGCTTGAAGTTGAAGGAAAGAAGACAGAAATTGAAAGAGACGGAAAAAGGCACTGTTCATTACAGGCGACGTGGCTTCCGGCGGTGGAAATGCGGGACCCTATTTGCAGAATCAGATTTCCGGCGGATAACATCTTTTTTTTATTCTATTAATTATTTGGAATAAAGTCTACTTAAAAAAAAAAAATGATTCAAAAAATATTAAAATTACCATTATTATTATTTATTCTCCAACCTGAGCTTACTGCCGGTTTGGTTGCCCCTGCTAGAGATAACAATTTTACCCGAGTCAGCGGGTATCGATCCAATTCGACTGATTTTGATAGGTTCAAACATTAAATAAATGGGTTTAAGACAAATTTAAATAATAATCTTTTATCATTAATGGAATTCAGGGACCAAGGACTTAAATACCTGCTTATTATCTATTTAATTAATATTCACACATGTTTTAAAAGACAATTAATATGTACATATCTTTTTAATTATAATTAATAATATAATTATTTTAATATTTGTAATATACAAAATAATAATTTTATAATTTTTATTTATATTTTATTTTTAAAAAAATAATTTTTTTATATTTTATTTTAAAAATAAAATATTTTTAAAAAATAAAAATAAAAAATATTTTAAAATTTTAATGGCTATTTAAATTGATAGTTATAATTGAATTTAAAATGGGTTAATATATTATTTTAAACAGGCATGCAACTAATAAAAATAAAAAATATTTTAAAAGTTTAATGGCTCTCGAATAATTATAATTTATAATTTATAATTGGATTTAAAACGAGTTAATTATTATTTTAAGCGGGTGCACGCTCCTTGTCATCCCTAGCCGCACCCCTCCATTCTTATAATAACTTGTTCCCGAACAGAGCCGCTGACTGATATCCAGTGAAGTTGACTGATTCAAACAACTGGGCTTAGCGAGTTTGCAGCTGGGCACTCTCAAGTAAGTCGATTTCTAGTAATTTCTTTTTCCTGTGTATGATCACCATGTGCTAATGTTTTGAGTCTTTAGTTCTTGCAACGTGCAAATGATCTGTTTTAATTTGCTGTCTGGTAACCTTTGAGTAGTGATATTTATTTGTTTTCTCCTATACAATGTAAACCTTTATTATCTTTTTGTTAGTTTTGTGGTCTGAATGATGTTTTTTTTTTTTTTTTTTTTTTTTTTTTTTTTTTTTTTTTTTTTTTTTTTTTTTTTGTTTTTTTTTTTTTTTTTTAGGGTTTGTTCGATGATTACGAGTTCAAATTGGATTATACAACTGGTTCTTAGTCCATTTGTTAATCACCATCTTTTTCATAGCGTAATTGTAAATTCTATTAATGTATCTTCTGCGAAGGTTGAAGTCGCTAATTAAGCTCAAATTACCTACTGGCTGAGATCAAGTTCATTAGTAAATAATCAACTAACCCTTGGTTTTGATATTGATAAGAATAAATGAAATTGAAGTTCAGCAGAATTTAATTTGTAAATGATAGAATTTGTTTAATTTTTTTTCATACGAACAATGTAAACATGAAATTCCCAAATTACATTCCAATACAATTTCACGAAATTCATTTTTTTTTTTTTTTTTTTTTTTTTTTTTTTTTTTTTTTTTTTTTAGGTTTGTTCGAATAATTAGAGTTCAAATGGATTATACAAACTGGTTTTAGTCCATTTTTAATCACATCTTTTCATGCGTATGAAATTCTATATGTATTTCTTGGAAGGTGGATATGCTAATTTTAAGCTCAAAATTTACTACTGGCTGAGATCAAGTTCATTAGTAAATAATCACTAACCCTTCGTTTGATATTGATACAGAATAAATGAATTTGAAGTACAGAATTTATTTGTAAATGATAGAATTTGGTTTAATTTTTTTTCATACGAAACATGTAAACATGAAATTCCAAATACATTCCATACAATTTCACGAAATTCATTTATACCAAACAATACTTAAGCAAAGTCCCAGCTTGAGTTGAATTTTTAATGATACATACCGAGGTAAAGGCTTTAGTTAAGACCAAGCTTTGCCCTACCTGGTGAATTTTATCAACTTTTTCATATGCTGGACTTAATCTCTATGTGAAGGGATTGGACAAGAAATTTGACTTCTTTTTGTGTTAATAGTTGAGTGTTGTTTCTTTGTATGTTTGGATGGAAGGATTTGAAGTTTGAGAGATTTGAATTTGATAGTAATATAGAGGTTTCTTCGAATTGCTAGATTCACAAATTTATCTTAGATTCACAAATGTGAACAAAAATCTTGTTTTAGTGCGCTACTGTGTATTTGAAATGCCTATGGAAATTTTTAATTTCAAATACACCTCAAAAGTGCCAAAAGGCTATCCTATTGTAACATGCTGGTCAGAAGGATCTCTCATTCTTCCATCAAATATTCTACTTTTCCCAGATATTTGGGGTCAAATACTGATTTGTGCTTTACAAGTTAGATGTTATTTTTGAGAAAGTTCAAGCTTTTGAATTCACTATGACCATCCATTAGAGGGAGATAGATACAAATTATAGGCGGCTGGAGGGCGGATCATGCAATGAAATTGAAAAGATTTGACTAGATTATTATGATTAGGAGTCTGCTTTAGCAAATGGTTTATTAGAATTGCTTTTCGAGGATTGACTGTTGCATGCCGTGATGTGGAATCAAAAGGATTGACTGTTGCATGCTGTGATCTAATCAAACCATATGAGGTGTTAAAATGAACCATTAATTATTCATTAATGAAATAGTTTTTTTCCTTTAGCAGGTCTGGGTTCCTCTCAACTTTTCCATCTATTGCAGCTTGGGTTTCGACTTTTCCTGCTAAAAGGCTTAGGATTCAAACATTTTCTTCTGTCTGTCAGCTTTGGAGCAATTGTAAACCACTAGGACTGTTGAGATCTATTATGAAATAACCATAAGCCTCTTAATAGAACATTTTGGGCCTGCACAACTTTTTTTAATTGTTTTATTTTTACTACACAACCTAGTTTTTGCATAATTGACAACTCAAAAGAGTGAGAATTGTATTAAAAATTTTCAGAAGATATTGTGTTTTCTAAATTTTATGGTTTTCTATCCTGAATGCAAATACAATGACATAGAAACTAAAGAGACTGGCGAGACTGTACCTAAACATGGGTATTTTTAGAGTCTCTTGAGGTCATATTAGCAGTTTAAAGTCCACTTTTTTTTTTTAATTATCTATGGCCACTTTGCTCCCTAATTTTTTTCATTCTTGAAGTTTGAATGTCTTGAGTTCCTTTCAGTTTCTTCTGTTTTGATATTGTGTTGCTCTAGTATATATTTTATTTTCTTTGGAGTGCCTCCAACCTTTTTCATGCACTTAAAATGACTGAAAAAGAAGAATATATAAAATAGAAAGGGAAGTTAATAAAATTGCAGCTCGCTGGTTGAAAATTGTCAAGCATATATCATCCGCATGAAGTGTTTTAAGTAATTTTATGAATTTAGATTCTAACCTGAATATAAATTATTAGAATTCCTTGTATAATGTGTAACCTTTTTGTCCTTGTCTGTGTCTTTTGAAGCTGTGAAACTATCATGTAAAATTCCAAATGAAAGCAATTCTATTGGACTTATATCCTAGTGAGCCATGGATCTGAACATAGTTCAGTTGCATTTATTGGTAATCAGCTGTCTGTCTGGGGACTATATTTCCAGTACTTGTTATACACCTTTAAAGCTAGAAATAGCTATTCTGTTCCTTCCATATGTTATGCTATTCAATGAATCAAACGAGGCTTTAATTATTTCCTATAAGAAAAATCCATGAAGCATGACATTGACCTAGAGTCCATATATAATGATTGATTGTTGTCTTCCATCAGGATAACACGAGATATTGTCATCTTGCAGTTACAGTTGTGAAGAATTTTGCATTTTTGGGGATGGATTCACAAATCGTAGTGCATAATGGTGGATGCCATTGTGGAAAAGTGAGATGGCGAGTCCAAGCACCAAGTAGTGTTGTAGCTTGGAAGTGCAATTGTTCTGATTGTTCAATGAGGGGCAACATTCACTTCATTATCCCATCTCAAACGTTTGAGCTTTTGGGAGATTCCAAAGAGTACATTACAACCTACACTTTTGGTACACACACCGCGAAGCATACATTCTGTAAACTCTGTGGTATAACCTCGTTTTATATTCCTCGATCAAATCCAGATGGAGTTGCAGTTACATTTAGATGTGTGGATCCAGGAACACTTACTCATGTTGAAATTAGGCAGTATGATGGTAAAAACTGGGAAAGCTCATACAATCAAACATGTATAGCTGCATGTTCAAAGGCACCGGAACAAGGGATGTCACCATCATGATTAAAGTTATGATATAGTCACTTACAGGTAACCAAATATGCACTATGTGAAAGTTGTAGTTATTTTTGCATCTAGTGTATTGTTAAAATAGAGTAACATTTTGTTTTAAAGGGTGAACAATGAATTTGGGGTTCGTGTGGATTTTCTTTTTTTTTTTTTTTTGTTATAGTTATTAACTAGTTGTATATGTTTTAAGCCCTTGCTTTGGTATAAATAAATCTGAAATATAAAGTTGATAAACAAATGGTAAATTTCATTTGGTTTGCATTGAATTTCATAAATTGAAAAATCAAGTTAATGAGAATTAAAAGTATGATATTCTAAATGAATTTCATAAAATTTTTTAGAGTTCATCTATATCTGATAGTCTTTTTTTTATTTATTTATTTTTTATTTTTTTTATAGTTCATTCTTTGATAAGAATTGGGATTAGAGTTGTTGGTTGTAATTGAAGATTTATCTTGCATAATATGATCATGAATAAAATTGCATTAACCTTTTCTCTTTAGAAGAAAAGGCCTCATATAGAGTATAATATATGACTGTTAAATGAGGGAGTAATATCCTGCTCTATTTGCATACTTACAGATTACTCCTCAACATAATATGTATTGTACTCTCTACTAAGACGTTCCTTGTAAGTAGCTGCTTCACCTAGTAATAGAGTAATATCCGCATTTCTTGAACTCTGAGACTCGATGTTGCTGTATTCACTTGTACAACAACTTGCTGATATCTATCTCTTTTAGCTATGAAATCCTTGATAGAAGTCAAAATCTCTAGATATAAAGAAATAGTTTGCCTGTGAGAAGATAACAACTCTTTAATTTGGGATTAGATCTACTGAGGCTGGCTAGAACTATCAACATTACTCAACACGTCTAATAAAGAAAGCACATGTCCAGATTTCTCCTCAAACATGTCTAATAGATCAAGAGTAAACAAGTGTCTAAGTTGGTCTTTAGCTAGCTTAACAGAAGTAGATGAAGGCTGCTAGAAGAAAAAGTGAAGGGAAGAAATAGATTGTTCAAGAAAGAAAAATAAATCATCAATCCCAGATAACGGATCCTCAATCGGTGGAATTTGGGGAGCCTGCAGAAGAAGGGGGGAAATATAAATAACATTTCGGACAGAGGAAAACATGGTAGATGAAGCACATACCTTTAGAGAAAAAGCAAGTGGAGCATTTGGATCTACACCAATAAAGGGAATGAGGAAGTACAAGCCAATGAAGTAACATCAATCCTTGAAACATCTTTAAAAATGGCCGATGGAGAAGAAGAGGAATTAACTTTTATGGATGGTTAGCGCTTATGGATACTTTGTACCAATCCAAATCCCCTAAACTAGAGGTAGGGGATATATGCCTCAAAAATAGCAACACCAGTGCAATTCAGTACACGTTCACGTGTAAATACCGCTCAGAAGTAAAAATAATGCAATGTCTTTGTGCTTTTTCCATGGTAGTAGGCGATCTATTGTTCAACCACAATGGGATGTGAGCCACTGATAGCTCACTAATATTATCAAATCGGGTAAACCTGATAATGTTTGGATTTTTTAGGTTCTAAAAAACTAATCAACAACTTTCTCAGATGGCAAATTGAAAACAGAATTAACCACCCTGCGGCCAAACACACCATTAACTGGTGGTAGAATTTCTCAAATCAAAAAAGGCAACTTGTAAGCCAATGTTGTACTATCTATAGTTTCATTTGCTAAAAGGTTTATTAGTAATTAATTAACAAGCCATAGAAAACAACATAGAGGTATGGTTTGTAGTGCATAATATCATCCATAAGCTAGTTTATAAGCTAATAGGAGATACTCACCAATGGGATGACTAGAAGTTGGGAAGAAGATAAACTTATATACCAAAATTCATAAGAACTATACATGATTTGATGGATTGTTACTGTGCCCATGCTTGATAGCTGAGGAGTGAGAGTCGAATGACCAAGTATACAAGACTGAGTCAAACATGTAAGGCACTACACTTGGTGTGTCGCCTCCAATGTAATAGACGTTGTGCCTACAGAAAAGATGAAAGAATTGCATTAACCAAACCAAAACCTTAAGGCGTCGCAGAGGATATTAGTGCGTGAAGGGGTCTTGATGGTGGAAGTTTGCAGAGTTTGATAAATGAGTATATCCCTAGTTCTTCCCAAAGAGATTTGCACACCAGTTCTAGAAGATCAATCTATTCATTCCATAAGCTTGTATGTCGAGTTCAAGATTTGACCTTATATTCTGGAGGAGGAACAACAAGATAGACATAATTACTTAGTGATTCTCCTCCAGGGAAGTGGAGTTGATGGAGGCATTTTTGTTAGTGGCCAAATAGTCTTGTCAGGTAAGAATGAATGACTATCTTATAAGTAAGAGAGCCAAAGTATTAGGAAAACAGTGCATAACAAGTATTATGCGAAGTTCAATAGAGGAATTTACCGAGGACTAGGTGAACTTAGCATAACCTTGATTCTACATTGTTTTCTTGATCCTTTGCTTCTCTTATTTACAGGATAATCATTCAGTTAATGGAATGGATGGATCAACTGTCTACAACTGGTGTACAAATCTTTTTGATAAGAATTGAGGATATACTCATTTATGAAACTTTGCAGACTTCCTCAATCAATCCCTCCTTTGTTTACTAGTATCCTTTGGCGCCTTAAGGTTTTTTGTGTGATTATTGCAACTCTTTCATTTTTCCTGTAGGCCTAAGGTCTATAACATTGGAGGTGATGCACGAGCATAGTTTCTCATGCCTGACTTAGTCTCATATGCTTGGTCATTCGACTCTCACTCCTCAGCTATCAAGCATGGGCAAGGTATCAGTTCATCAAATCATGTGTAGTTCTTGTGAATTTTGTTGTGTAAGTTTATCTTCTTCGTAAATTTTAATTATCCCACTAGTGAGTATCTCTCCTTGGCTTATGAACTAGCTTGTTGGCAATCTTATGCTGAAGAAACCATGCTTCCAGGCTCCGTTTTCCAGGACTTGCACAAATTAATTATTGATAAACCTTTTAACAAATGGAATGACAATCTGTCGATAGTACAATTTTGGCTTTTCAGTTACTTTTCTGATTTGAGAGATTCTATTGCCAGTTGATGGTTTGTTTTGCTATAGGATGGTTAATTCTATTTCTAATTCACTACCCAAGAAAGCTACTGATTACTTTCAAAACCTTAAGTTTCCAAAAATTATTAAGTTTATTCCATTTGATAATTAGTGACCTAACAGCGGTTGTCCTCCCATTGTTGTTGAACAATAGGCAGTCTGCTAGCATGAAAGAAGCTTAAGACACTGGACTATTTTTACTTATGAGGGGTATTTGCAGGTGAATGTGTATTGATGTGAATTTCGCTGGTGTTGCTACTTTTGAAGTGTATATCCTCTGCTTGTGTAGGCAATTTGGATTGATACAGAGTATTTTTGAGCCGTTACTATTCATGGCAACTACTTCTTTTTATAGAAAGTGCCAGAATCAATCTCGTGTAAATAGCATATCATGATTTTGTGATATTGCATATATATATAAGGTCCATTAAACCATGGCTTGTGAGGTTCCATTGATTTTGTGATCTATGGACACTATATTTCATGGATTTTGTGAAATCCTGCATCAATACACATGGTCTTTTTATAGAAACTGGTTTTGATTGCATTTAATCACATGGTCTTTTTATATTTTAATAATAACCACTATCAAAATTTTATCAAATACCAACATCATTAGCTCGCGTTATTAGCTATCAACTATAAATAGCTAAACCAAATAAGCTTTAACGATTAATGAGTATGAAATTTGTACATAAAAAGCCTTTCTTGAAAAATGGGTACTCAAAATCTAGTATTGGCTTAAATTAAGTTCATTAGTAAAATATTCACTAAGCTTTGTATAATGTAAACGATAAAATTGAAGCATGACATTTGACATGGAATCCATATGTACTAATTGATTGTTGTCTGGCACCAAATAGGTGATATAGTCATCTTACAGTTTGTTTTTTTAAACTATTGGGGGAATCCAACCTTGGTCATTGCTAGATCGTACGTGCACTTACCACTAAACTAACTTGATATATATTTTCTTGCAGTTACAATTGTGAAGAATTGTGCATTTTTGGGATGGATTCACAAATTATAGTGCAACATGGTGCTGCCATTGTGGAAAAGAGAGATGGCGAGTCAAAGCACCAAGTAGTGTCGTAGCTTGGAAGTGCAATTCTTTGGATTGTTCAATGAGAGGCAACATTTGTTGGGGAAAAAATTATGCAAAATCCCCAATAAGTCAGATGTATGAGGGAGTAAAAGAAAATAATAATACACAATTTCATAACGGAGTTCGGCCAATCTTGCCTACGTCTCCGGATTGCCACAGATCTTTTATAGGAGAAAAATAAGTAAAGTGCTTACATACACTCACAGCCCTCTATCTAAAAATACCTGCAAAATTAGTCTTAATTTTTCTTTTTGGATAATCTCTCTATTTCTCTCTCTCACAATTGCTCTCACTCTCTTATTTGCTAATATGCGCACTATGTTGCTCTTCTCGTTAATGTAAGTAGATGCAAATCCTCTCCTCTATTCATAGGAGAGAAAACGCGTGAATGAGCGGTGCAAGTTGGCCACCAATTTCAATTTGCACATGTTTGTTTTATTTTTCTTCCTCCCTTTGTTGACTACCTTTCTTCCTTTTATTTATTTTCAAGAACGCGTGAGTCCCACACTTGAGTGGGCACACCACCGCCAACATACTTTGACAATCTCCCACTTGAAGACTGATTTTAATCTGTCTTCACACGTCCCACACTTGAGTGGGCACACCACCGCCAACATACTTTGACAATCTCCCACTTGAAGACTGATTTTAATCTGTCTTCACACATCAATCATGCGACAGTCTTTTTTGATCTGTTATTCTAACAGGCCAACTGAAGTTGAGCACAACTTGAGTTTGTCATTGGTCACCACCTTTGTTAACATGTCAGCTGGATTCTTGTTTCCTTGAATCTTTTCTAACTTTAGCACATCATTGTAAAGCAGAAACCTGATGAAATGATATCGAAGACCAATGTGTTTTGTTCTAGAATGGAATGCTGAATTCTTTGCCAAATGTATTGCACTCTAACTATCACTATACAAAACATTATTTTCCTGCATGAATCCCAGCCTTGAAGCCATATCATCTCTTTGCTGGCTTCTGTCACTACAACATACTCGGCTTCTGTAGTGGATAGAGCTACAATCTTTTGTACCTGTGACATCCAACAAACAACTGTACTATCAACAGTGAAAATATAACCTGTGGTGCTTCTTCAGTGATCAACGTCGCCTACATAGTTTGCATCTACATAACGTTGTACTTTTAGTTCTCCTTTACCAAAGTACAAACACTTCTCAGTAGTGCCTCGTAGATACCTCAAAATCCACTTTACTGCTTCCCAATGAGCTTTTCTTGGATTTGACATATACCTGCTAGCAACTCCCGCTGCATGGCCAATATCTGGTCTTGTACAGACCATCGCATACATCAAACTTCCTATGGTTGAAGCATAAGGAATTTTGGCCATGTCTTTTCTCTCTTCTTCCGTTTGAGGGGACTGGTCCTTGGATGGGCAAAAATGGCTAGCCAAGGGTGTGCTGACCGGCTTAGCTTCGTTCATGTTGCATCTTTGCAATACACGATTGATGTACTCTGCCTGAGATAACTGCAACACATGTTTTTGCTTATCTCTCGTGATTTGCATTCCAATAATCTTTTTCGCTGGACCCTAGTCCTTCATGTCAAATTCTTTTGACAATTGCTTCTTCAAGTTTTTGATTTCGTTTATATTTGGTCATACTACTAACATACCATCGACATAAAGTAATAGAATGATATAACTAGTCTTATACCTTTTGAAGTAGCAACAGTGGTCGACATTGCACCTCTAGAAACCTTCACTGTGTATGAAGTATTCAAATTTTTGTACCACTGTCTTGGGGCTTGCATCAAGCCATACAAGCTCTTCTTGAGTTTGCACACCATATTCTCTTTTCTTATTTCTGAGAATCTTTCTGGCTGGTACATGTATATCTTTTTATCCAAGTCTCCATGAAGAAACGCCGTCTTTACGTCCAACTGCTCAAGGTAGAACTCTTCATTGGCAACAATACTCAACACAGACATGATAGTATTGAGTTTTACAATTGGTGCAAATATTTCGGTGTAGTAAATTCCTTCCTTTTGCTGGAACCCTTTGACTACCAGTGGAGCTTTGTATCTCTTGGAACCATCATGTTCCTCTTTCACTCGATACACCCATTTGTTGTGAAGTGCCTTCTTTCCCACGGGTAACTCAGCTAGTTCCGAGATTAAAGACTTCACTCATCTTTCATGGCAAGCTCCCACTTGCTGGCATCTGCCGTTTGACATGCTTCTTCAAAGCATTCAGGTTCTCCTCCATTCATTCGATAAACTTTTTGAGATATCGTCCACTTCTACAAACACTGGCCCACTCTGCTTTGAGTCGCTGGCAACCGTGTTATGTCTGTCGTCCACCTCTGCAAACACTTGCCCACTCTGCTCTGAGTCGCTGGGCAGACTTTTGAGGGATATCGTCCACCTCTTCAACATGCCCACTCTGTCTAAGTCGCTGGCAACTGTGTTATGTCTGTTCCTTGTACATCATTCTTTCATTGAAGACCAATCTTTCTACTGCGATCACTTTCTTGTTTTCTTCATCCTAGAGGGCAGTAACCAACTCATCTTTGCCATAGTCGATGAAAATGCATTTCTAGATTTTTGGATTCAAAGCTTATCCTGCCATGATTCACTTATATGCACATATGCTACACAACCGAAAACTCTTTACGTGTGAGAGTTTTACCTCTTTTTCGCTCCATACCCTCTTCTGGTATTGTGGCCTCCAATGGTACCGATGGACCTCGGTTTGATCAAGTAAGCTGCGTGTTGAATGCCTGCTGTGTTGACTGCTTCTGCCCAGAACTGCTTTGGTAAGCCTGATTGTACACATAAGCTTCTGGCTCTTTCTGTCAACGTTTGATTCATGCGTTCAGCTACACCATTGTGTTGAGGTGTGCCTGGCACAGTTCTCTCCATTTTGATTCCATGCTCATAAATATTCTTATAATTGGCCCTCATAGGACATGGCTCCACTTAAGTGTGGGACCTACGTGTTCTTGAGATTAAATAAAAAGGAAGGAAGGTTGTCAACAAAGGGAGGAAGAAAAATAAAATAAACATGTGCAAATTGGAATTGGTGGCCAACTTGCACCGCTCATTCATGCGTTTTCTCTCCTATAAATAAAGGAGAGGATTTGCATCTACTTATACCAACAAGAAGAACAACACAGAGCGCAGATTAGCAAATAAGAGAGTGAGAGCAATTGTGAGAGAGAGCAATTGTAAGAGAGAAAAGTAGAGAGATTATCCAATAAGAAAAATTAAGTCTAATTTTTTGGGTATTCTTTGATATAGGATTGTGAGTGTATGTAAACACTTTATTTATTTTTTCCCAACAACTGGTATCAGAGCCGAAGGTTTCGGCAGGTCCAGCTGGTCAAAAAGTGGTATCAGATTCGTGGATATATTTTGAAAATAAATATACCAAGACGACGAGAAAATTATGATGAGTCCATTAGTGCAGTCCGTTAAAAAAGATGCTGCAGAATCAACTTAGTGATGAATAGTAAAATAGTAACTCAAAGTTTGTGGTGAATAGTACTATTGGCGTCATGGTTGCTAAGCCCGTTTCAAGTAAACTCAATACTATTCACGTATAGTACTATTTATGTGTACAGTTACTATTCACAGATACTATTACTATTCACGTACGCTAACAATAAAGGCCGAGTTAGATTTGAGTGGGAGCAATGGCTGCAGATGAAGGAAAGTCGAAAATTGAAAAATTCGACGGTGCAGAATTGGGCTTTTGGAAAATGCAGAAAGGATTATCTATATCAGAAAGGTCTTTTCAAACATTTCTCCGGACGAAGCCAAAGGCTATAAAGGAAGAAGATTGGAATCTTCTAGATAGACAAGCACTCGGGATTATTTGTTTAACTCTCTCCCGCAATGTTGCCTTCAAAATAGCAAAAGAAAAAACCACGGCGAGTCTTATGGCGGCTCTTTTCCGTATGTACAAGAAGCCATCGGCCTCAAACAAAGTTCACTTGATGAAGCGGTTATTCAATCTACGAATGACGGAAAGCGCATCGGTGGCCCAACATCTCAATGAACTCAATACAGTGACAACCCAATTGAGTTTAGTTGGAATTGAATTCGTTGAAGAGATACGAGCATTGATACTTTTGTCTTCCCTACCAGAAAGTTGGAATGCTACTGTCACAGCTCTGAGTAGCTCGTCCGGAAGCAATAAGTTAAAATTTGACGATCTAATGACCTGGTTCTCAGTGAAGAGATCCGACGGAGAGAGTCAGGAGAAGCTTCAACTTCTTCGGTCTTGCATACAGAATCCAAAGGAAGAAATTCAACCAGAGGGAATGGAGGCGGTAGATCAAACTACCGAGGCAAATCAAAAGACAGGAGGTCCAAATCCAGGAATCCCAGCAATTTCAATAGCATAAAGACCATTGAATGTTGGAATTGTGGAAAAATTGGGCAATACAAAAATCAGTGCAAGAATGCACCTAAGAACCAGGACGGGAAGTTAGAGGCAAATGTTGCTTCCACCTCAGGAGAAGATGATGCACTTATATGATGCACTTATTATGCTCTTTGGGAAGCAAGGAGGAAGTCTTGGAGTTTAGACTCCGATGCGTCATCATGCAACTTCACCAAAAAGAACTCCTTGAATATGCCGGAACTTGGAAAGTAGGAAAAGTATACCTTGGTAATGACCAACCTTGTAAAATTGTTGGTAAAGGAGTAGTGAGATTAAGTTGAACGAGTCTACATGGGAGTTGAAGGATGTCAGGCATATTCCTGAATTGAGAAAGAACTTAATCTCAGTAGGCTAGTTGGCCAGCGACGGCTACACAACAACCTTCCACGGCGATAATTGGAAGATTACAAAGGGTGCAATGATGGTTGCTCGTGGCAATAAGAGTGGTACTCTTTACAGCACAGGAACAAGCTATACCATTGTTGTTGTAGCAAACAGTGAAATTCCCAATCTATGGCATCAAAGGCTTGGCCATATGAGTAAGAAGGGAATGAAGGTTCTGCACTCACAAGGAAAACTATAATGCGCTCAGTGTTTGCAAAGGTGGACGATATCTCAGAAAGTCTGCCGAATGAGTTAGTTAAAGATCCCTAATTAGAGGAATCAACCGACACACCACAAACTTCTCCTCCAAAAGCTTTAAGAAGGTCTGAATGTCCTCCAAAGCCTAACAGAAAATATATGAATTATTTGTTATTAACAGATGAAGGACAACTTGAATGTTTTGAGGAAGCATGTCAAGCGGTAGATTCCAGCAAGTGGGAGCTTGCCATGAAAGACGAAATGAAGTCATTAATCTCCAATCAAATATGGAAACTAACTGAGTTACCCGTGGGAAAGAAGACACTTCACAACAAATGGTTGTATTGAGTGAAAGAGGAACATGATGGTTCCAAGAGATACAAAATTCGACTGTAGTCAAAGGGTTCCAGCAAAAGGAAGAAGTTGACTACACCGAAATATTTGCACCAGTTG